TAATGGTAGGTTGATGGTTAGCTGGGAAGGAGATGAGGTTGCCAAGTCCAGGCTGGCAAATTCCTGGGGATTTGAGGGGTTGAGCCTGGAGAGGGTGGGGTTTGAGGAGGGGTGGGACCTCAGACAGGTAGAATGCCATAGACTCCATCGTCCAAAACAGCCATTTCATCCTGGGTAAAAATTGTTGCCAATCTCCCGGTGAGGGCTGGAGATCACTCCAAATTACAACTGCTCTTCAGGTAGCAGAGATCAGTTCCTCTGGAGAAAACTGTGGACTCTGTCTTTATACCCTGCTGAGGTCGCCACAACAAATTGACACTGTTTGCCCAAAGCCGGAGCACTCTCCCAGAGCCTCTTTCTAGAGCTCATTGTATTTATTTCCACAACGAGCCTTATTCCTAGTCTATATATATATATAAAAGAAAGTCCCCTCACTGTAAAATCAATGCCCAGGCCACACCGCTGGACCTAGAGAATTCAGGGAGAACGCTCCTACCATGGCGTAGATGCTCACTAAGAAGGGATTTTTTAGAAAGTCTACCATTAAGTAGGTCAAAAGGGGTAAAATGTACTCCCCCACTGATTCCTATGGGACTGCCAGCCTGCTGCCTCCCTGCACCCCCCAATTCTCTGATTGGTCAGCTGCAGAGCTCAGTGTTCTGAGGTAAAAGAAAACAGTTACAGGGGACTACAAAGAGCTCATGACAGTTCAGGAAATCAGGAGTGGCCAACCACCTGTGAGGTGAAGCAAAGCTGCTGGCCCAGCCTCCCTATGGCTTCAAACATGCTCCCCATTCCTACACCTGACAGGCAGTTGTTGTCAGGTGCAGCAGCAGTTGCAGGGGACTTAAAGTCATGAGGGAGCCTGCCCTAGCAGTAACGCCTTAGTGATCCTGCCAGCCCCGCCTCCACAATGGCTTTTAATACTCCTCCCCTCGCCTGTCAAGTGTAGGAGAGGAGGTGGGATGCTTACAGCCACTGGGGAGGTTTGCTCAGCAAGATTGCCTTAGCCCTGCTGCTGACCAAGCCTCCCTGATGCCTTTAAACATAATCCCCCCAACACCAGACTGACGGATGTCTGTCAGGTGTAGGAGCAGGAGCAGGGTACTTTAATCCATCAGGGACACTGCCCAGCAGGATCACCTTAATGATGCTGCTGGCCCAGTCTCTCTGATGGCTTCCAACACACTCCCCCCACCTCCTACACCTAACAGGTAGTTGTCTGTCAGGTGCAGCAGTGGTTGCAGGGTGCTTAAAGCCATGAGGGAGCCTGCCCCAACAGTCTATAGAGAGGTCCTTCAGTAGAAGAAGAAAAAGTACATATGTCTCACTTCATTTTTTACACTACAATCTTCTCCATTAGAATTCCTACAACAAATGTCACATTTCAAATTTCACACCATCAGTATTATAAATGGATTTATGGAAGCACAGGTATCAGGCTAGTATACACCTATGCAAATAGGATCAAACCACTTAATACAAAATAACAGACAGTGTATGTAACTTTCATTCAGGTTGTTCAGAGCACGTTTATGAAGCGCGAGCTTGTGTCAATGAACTGAATAATGCGATCAGTATTTATTATACATGAACTAACAGTTGTCTTGCCCTAAGCAGATCTTTTATTTTCTACTTAGGTATTCAAAAAACTGACCTTTAATTTTTAATTTTTTTTACAAAGGAATCATGAGTTAGTTTTATTCATGGAGTCTTAGAGTACAGTATGACTGACATGGAAAGAAATATTAGGTTGTACAATTCTATGGGCAACGGTCTGAAGCACAGAAATTTTATATTAAAACCTTGTTAAAGAACTACAATAATTCATTAAGGGTTATATCATTATAAAAATACATCATGGTTATAAACTCTTTCCTGGGGCTTCACATTAGCAAAATTTGATGTGCCCTTTATGCTTTGAAATTAGGTACAGCTCAAAATGATTTATGCACCAAAAAAAAGTATGGCATTTAATAAAGTAAAAAATAGTAACTATTTGCCAATTTCCTGAAGACGGAGTCTGTCCCTTAAGGATCTACAGTCTAGAAGATTTTTTTTAATTACCAGTTAAAATCATAGCTGCATTAATAACATTGTTGGAATTGTATTTACCTTCAGTGAAACCAAGGACCAGACTAAGAACATTGATTTCCAGAACGTTCTTGTGGATTCTGGAGATATCAGCAGTGGGTTTGTTGTTATAGCCCAGTGACAACCTGTAAGGGTGGTTTGGATGGGATAATAGACAGGATCACTCTTTTGTGTCCTCTCTGCTCCATTCCGTGATCATAAGCTCCTTGTTAACAAGAAGCCACCATATTTGAAAGGGACTGGCAGGTGGCTTCAGCATAGCAATGCTGGCAGAACATTGGTACTGAAACAGGACACATTCACCACAGTATTTGCAGGTGAAGTGGTGGTGTTGATGGTGGTATGGAAAGTATTATGCTCTGCTACCTTTCCAGAAGTAGAATCTGAGCTAACACAACTTTGGAAAAGGGTATGCAGGATCTAGCCCTAGAGTGAAGTTGATTTTGTACTTCTCAGTTATCAGCTTGTGGTGATCCACATTCTTTGATAATGAAACCAATGTCCTCCAGTCCAACTTCCACACCAGTTTAGCAGTTCCATTTTTTATTGAAAATGTTTTGATCCAGCTCATCTCCTCTAAGCAACTTACAACAAGAGATGGTGCAACAAGCATTTTTTTTTTTTTGCCATCAAGTCACAGCTGAGTTATGGCAATCCTGCCAAGGCAAGAGACGCTCATAGGTGGTTTGCTATTGCCTGCCTCTCTGTCGTGACACTGGACTTCCTTGGTGGTTTCCCATGCAAATGCTAACCAGGGCCGACCCTGCTTAGCTTCCCAGATAGATAGAAGACCATTCCACGATGTGAGATCCACCACTATGAAAGCCCATGTACCCAAATCTACTTTGACATCCTGTTTCCATGTAATCCCCAAATGGGCATAATCACTGATATAACCAGTTTAGGATGTATTGCCCTTATTGATGGTCAATGGGTTGAATCCTGAAAATCAATTCTGCTAGCAGGGGCATTTTCTTCCAGTATTGAGGGCAAGTGCCTCAGCCGGCAGAATGGATCTGTGCATGATCCATGTCAGAGATGGCATTCTAGTGTCAACTTTGGTTACCTTTGTAGCACCTTGATGTCATCTTATCTGTTCCACAGAAGAGGACTATGCAGCAGCTAAGGAAGAAGAGGAGGAGGAGGAGGAGGAGGAGGAGATTGGATTTATAACCTGCCCTTCACTCGTCTCAGAGCAGCTTACAAACTCCTTTCCCTCCCCCTCCCCACAACAAACACCCTGTGAGGTAGGTGGGGCTGAGAGAGCCCAGAGAGAACTGCTCTTTCAAGAAAACTCTGACAGAACTATGGCTTGCCCTAGGTCATCCAGCAGCTGCAAGTGGAAGACAAACCCAGTTCTCCTAGATTAGACTCCATGCACTTAACCATACACCAAACCCCACACTTAACCACTACACCAAGGGGGGGGGGGATGGTGTTACAGTAACAGACTCCAGGCAAGACGACACCCAACTGAATGGGACTAAAACCCAAAATTCCTAGTAATTTGAATCCCCCTCCCCAAATCAGTGCGGCCCTGTGTAGAATGTTTGATTCCTGCCCCCATCTTGTGCGTTGACTTCCATCATTTCCCATTGATCAAATTTTGACAACTAAGAGAGTCAAGCTATTGCTACCCTCCAAGCAGTGGTTCAGATAGATGAAGATAAATAACTCAATCTGAAATTAAAATGAATTGCTTTCATTTAAGCGATTTGTTCCCCAAGAAGACATCAGGGAGGTATCTCAGATGGCAACGTCCTTGATAAGAGATGTTTAGCACATCTATTTCTTTAATAGGGAGAACCCTAAAAGGAAAACAGCAAGCGTCTTGTCCCTAGAACTTTACCCTTGCCAGAAAACATCTGTCAGATAAAATCTAGATATATTGCTAGAAACTTCCTCATTAATAATGAGAAAATAGATATTGGAGGAGCGTCATTTTTTTTTTCATGTCCATGAAAAGATTTAATGCTAACCTGCATACACATTCCTCATCTTAATTATATGCATATGCTTCTGATGAACAAAAGAAATATGGGATCTCATTTCCAAAGCCTGACTCCCTGGCAACCACACATCACCGAATAAACATCTGCAATCGCATCCATTCACTTGGGGCAAATGTATCGTCAACTCAGCCCGGCCAATAACCTTGAGAGCTCCCCGTGACAGCTGGCTGGTACACAAAGTGACATTAACATCTAGAATGCTTCCAGGCTGCTCACAATCAAGGTGCTCTTCAGCTAATGCACTGCAAGCCTTATGCGACACCTGAGCTCCTGAAGGGGGTTTGGCTACTCTGCGAGATCTATGCTGAGCTACCGCTGGGAGTTTTCCCTACTCTGGAGACTTGGGAGCTGCTCGTACTGATGCGATGGCAAGAGCAGCAAGAAGGGCAAGGTAGAAATGTACCTTTGGAACGTTGCTGTGCATCATCCCAAGGGAAGGGAAGAAGAAACGTTAAGTGTTCTGGGAGTATAGAAAGACCAAGGGACTCGCTTCATGTTGCAATGAAACTTCCTTCCATGAAGCCGCACTGTAATCTCACATCTTGCACACCTCTTTATGTGACAATGAACCATCTGGAGGATTCATGTGCCTGATGCTTCTTTATCTTCAAAACACATTCACAGACCTGGTCCATGAACTGTTCGGCCCTCCACCCTTACAGGTAGCCTTCTGCAGGGGGAAAGCTCTAGGCACCAGAGGAAGAGTGGAAGAGACCTGATGGATCCAACCAGTTAGGTTTGTTCTCAAATACATGAACACACATGAAACTACCTTGTACTGAATCAGACTTGTGGTCCATCGAGGTCAGTATTGTCTAGTCAGACTGGCAGCCGCTCTCCTGGGTCTCAGGTGAAGGAGGTCATCTACATCACCCCCTACCTGGGTCTTTTAACTGGAGATGCTGGGGATTGAACCTGGGACCTTCTGCACACAAGGCACACACTCTACCACTGAGCCACAGCCCCTCCCCAAATGTATTCCACAAGCTCAACAGAAAGTAAATCTGCTATTCAAGGTATTCAATAATCAAGATCAGTGTTCCCTCTAAGCTGAGTAAGTGTGAGTTAGCTCACAGGTTTTTTAGCTTCTGGCTCACACATTTTTGTCTTAGCTCGGGAAGGACAGCCCCAGAGCAAACTAATTTATGCAGCAGCCAAATGGCTCACTCACAACTTCAATGCCAGTAGCTCACAAAATAGAATTTTTGCTCACAAGACTCCACAGCTTAGAGGGAACATTGCCTGGGACCCACATATCTGAGGGACCACCTCTTCCCATATACGCCCCAAACAGCATTACGCTCTATGGACCAACATCTCCTGGTGGTTCCTGGCCCAAAGGATGTCCATCTTGCCTCACCCTTTTCACCCTGGCCCCTGCCTGGTGGAACATGCTCCCAGTCAAGATTAGGGCCCGGCGGGATCTTCTTCAATTCCACAGGGCCTGTAAGACGGAGCTGTTCCACCAGGCCTTTGGTTGAGGCAGTGGACGTCTCTATATGGCCTCCCTGAGGTGGTTGTCACCCACCCACCTATCAACCCAAATAATATGCCAGGGAACTCCCACAGCCAGCTGATTTGTTAAAAGTATGACTGTGTTTTAATGTTTATTATTTTCAAATTGTTTAATTTTAATTGTATTAATTGTATATTTTATGATGTTACCCGCCTTGAGCCCGCTCGCGGGATGGGCAGGCTATAAATATAAATAAATAAATGAATAAATAACTGTGCCTTGCCTTGTGTCTTTTGGGGGTTGTTTATATTGGAATATATCAGCAGCAGAGGGCACAAAGGCTCACAAGCGCAGTGGAGCCACCTGGCACAGTGTGTGTGCGAGCAAGGGACAAAGTTACAGGGAGTCTCTCTATATCTGCAAAACTAATGTGAGTCCTTTTATTTAAGGAACTCCATTCTAGACAGGATAGAAGAGAGATAGTTTCTGTAATCTAGTCTAACTAGCTAGATGGATGGAGATGCAGGAAAGACATCCTACTCTCATGTTGCCAAGATGGAGAAAAAACATGGCATTGCATGGAGAACTAGCTGCAAGGAAGGAAGCTTTCCCTAAGAGTAGCAATCTACAATTCAAAGGGATAGTACCAGAGAGTGGTAAAAGCGAGGGTGGTCAACGTCTTGCCTATCTAGCTTCCTGACTGTCTTTTAGTCTTCCTCCATAGTTTGAGGCAAAGAGACAGCACAAAGTCCATCACTTCCAACAGTTTATTTCAGGATCGTTTACTTGAGTGAGACTGATTGGCCCAGGGACCCCATCTGACATGACACAAGCCTCCCTCTCATTTGCCTGTAAAATCAGGAGACTCAGTCAGCAGCATTCCTCGAATCTGGAAACCTCCCCCCCCCAAAAAAAAAAACCCTCCCAAAATTTTATCAGATGCATTTTCATAGTCCTCAACAAGTCTGGAATTGTGTTAAACGTTCAGGAAATCCCAGGGCCATCTCAAAAAGGCTTCCCTTCCCCTGGTATTTTGTGGTGTCCAGGGATTTCTGGATGCACTCGCTTAGAAATTTCCTTCCCAATCCTGATAGACAATGGGCGACGGAAGCTCGCTGGCTTGGTGTGTGATCTGTGCGCAGAGACATCTCTGGCCCAACTCTTCCCGCCATCACAAGCTCACCAGAAGGCCTTAGGTGAACTGCTGTTCCCTTGGCTTCAGTCCCCTGAAGGTAACTGTAATGCTGAGCTACTCTACACAGCTGTGGTGTGGATGAACAAAGGCATGTAAGTGGATGCTCAATTTTCGCAGCTGTAATCAAGATTACTAATTTATTTGCTGCATTTATCATTGGAAGCCCAGGTAGCTGTGCTGGCTTAGGGTCACCCTTTGCCATGCCTGCCCTGCCCTCCCCTCCTTCAGACAAGGTTCTGTCAAAAGCTCATTGCAGGCAGGGATCTCTCTTTATTTATAAAACCCTGTAAAATGTCATGTACACTTATGGTACTACTTAAATATAAACACATAAAATATCATATATTTATTTGTGCTTCGTTTAGCCTATTTTTCTCCTGAAGGAATCAATGCTAAGAATTACTAATGCTGAAAATACTATACTAAGAGATAGATAGACATATGGACTGTAAATGTTAAGAGTGATTGTGAGACAAAGATATATTCTGCAAGGAGCTACGGGTGGAGTATCACTTACAGAATTAAAAAGGACTCGAAGTTTGTTCAGCATCAAAAGGGAAGTCAAGAATGTGCCTGTCTAGAATGTGCTTTTTTCAGAAGAGCCTGAACTCAGAGACTAGAGATCTTGAACATGGGGATGCGCCAATATCTGGTGTGGTGGGGATTAGGCAAGCAGGGCAACAATTCCACCCCTTCACGTCGGGGGAGTTCCAAGAATTTATGCGCCGCTACCTCATCCGGCACATCCACTCCAGTCCCTTTCACTCGGCCACCAATGGGCAAGCAGAGAGGATGGTGCAAACCACGAAGGAGTCCCTCTGGTGGATCGTCCATGGAGACTGGGGCCAAAGGTTCACAGCTTTCCTTTTTGGCCATCGGGTGACCCCGAGCACCTCCACCGGCCGCAGCTCTTTGGAACTCCTCATGGGCAGGCGCCTAACCACCCGACTGGACAGGCTGCACCCAGACCGAGCCCCGGAGCACTGCCCATCTCTTAAGAGCCATGAGGTGCCCTGAGGATTCTTTCCTGGCCACCCCGTCTATGCTCAAAACTTCTCCAGCGGTCCTGCCTGGATTCCTGCCAAGGTTATCCAAGTTACAGGGCCCCAGTCCTACAAAGTGTCTACCAACGACGGCCAGGTGCTTTAGAGGCACATAGACCAGCTCTGCCATTGTCTCCACCCAGCTGAGCCAGGTTTGCCGTCAGCTGTTGCCAAGGTTATCCAAGTTACAGGGCCCCTGTCCTACAAAGTGTCTACCAATGACGGCCAGGTCCTTTAGAGGCACATAGATCAGCTCCGCCGTTGTCTCCACCCAGATGAGCCAGGTTTGCCGTCAGCTATCTTGGAAGATTGTGACATGGAGCTGCCACGGCCACAGGAACCAGAGCCTGAGAGGGAGCTCCCAGCGAACAGCGAACAGCCAGGCGGACAAGCAGGTGAAGCACCGGAGCAAGCAGCCATAGACTGCCCCAATGGCTCGCCAAGGCCGCTACTGTCTGCCAGAACCACGCCCGCAACAGTAGACCCATGTTCTGAGACTGCAACCTCTCTGCTAGAACCATGACATTCAGCCCGGGAACGATGCAGACAATCTTATTTAAGAGACTTTGTCTGTTAAGAAGCTTTTGAACTTAGGGGGAAGGGGTGTTATGTACTGAGCCTAAACCTTTCCTCTAGCTGTACCTAGCTGTACCTAGGACGGGCTGAGCTTGCTTCTCTAGCACAATAGCTCGCCTGGATCCAGGAACTAACCAATAAATAAGCAGTGTAATGTAAATAGCCTATCACTGGGAGTGTGTGAGTGTTGGGTGTGGTGTTTTGCATGCTTATAAGCAGGGCTCCAGCCCTGCTAGCTTTTCTTGTAGTTTGCTGAAATCACCTAATAATCCAGAGCTGATCACTGCAATGTGTCTAGAACCCAGTATGTAACAAATCTACTGAGAAATCCCAATTTATTCATTGGGGCTTACAACAAGTTTTACAAATTTCAGCCTCATTCACTGTCTACATGGTCCCAGTGGGTAGGTGTACTAGTGAGCTTCAAATCTGTACTCCTTCTTTCACTACTTCTGGTGTGAACTGAAACCTACATTCATGATTCTTCCCATTTTACCAGCAGACTTGACAGCAGTTCTTTTTTTATATATAGGTTTTATTGACTCTCCTAAAAAGAAGAGGTATTTCGCTTAAAAGAGAAAAATTGGGAGGGTGTATAGTGGGAGAAAGAGAAAGCTGAGTGATATATTAACTGGTAAATTAAACTGTTAGTAGTGTCCAATTATTCTTCTTAGGCTTCTTCTGTGAGCAGTCAAACTTCTTTTTTCAGTCCGGTTATAGGTATTATCT